GAACACATCCAGGGCTGGATGACTCCCTGAGGAAAGTTCTGTTCTTCTGGCTATAAACCCAGAGGGACATTAGGCTGGAGCTGCTTCCATGAGGGAAGAGCCTGTCTGACCATGGGACACACATGGCAGAAGGCAAAAATGAAAGCGAAGATAAACTTTACCCTGATGAATCCCTGGATGCTACTGGGTCTGCAGTCCACTCTTCCCCTGAATACTTCAGCTACACAAAATATTACTCCTTATTGTTTGTCTAAACCTGTTTTAATTGGATTTTCTGTGATTTTCAAATGGAAGATAACAAACTGATACATTTCATAAACTCAGGACAATCTTTATTGTAATTTTTTTTTCTACTATGTAGACTAGCATCTCTCTCCCAGAAGAAGGAAGGGAGGAAGAAGAAGGGAGAGTGAGTATTTGATGGAAGGTTCTATGTAGGGCATGATGTAATGTGGGACATGTTGAGTCAGAAAAGAGGAAACTTAACTTGCTGGCTACTACCTGCTTCCCAGTCCTGGGGCCACAGGTGGCTAAGAGAGCACCTAGGGATTAGCCAGAAGGCATTGCCATGCATTGTGATGAATCGTACCACCTCTAGAATAGGCTCAGAACCCTTCTGCCCTCACAGACAGCTGTGTCTCCCATTACTTCCTGTAGGATGGGTGTAGATGTAAATGCTCTCCACCCTGCTGACCTTTACCCTGATTGGCTCCTGTACATTATATTAGCTGTATTTGTTTTCTCATTAAACGAGATCTTGCTTTGACTGTTCTCCCTGGTGTGTCTGATTGTCCTCCATCTTGGTTTGTCCCGGTCGGGGCATGCTCCCGACAATCTCTCCCACAGGTCAGGAGGGAAGTGGGGGGTAAAAACCCTGTCAGTTCTAGCTGAGCAGTCAGCCTGAGAAAGGAAGGGCAGACACTGATGATCTTACCATTGCCACAAAGAATGGCCGCCGGCACTCTGAGTGGGATCACTCATGAAATAAAAAGGGCTATTAGGCTCATTTGTCTCTCCCATGGCACTCTAATTAAATAACCACTTTTAAAAAACTTACTATTTTGAAAGAAAGTAGTTTAAGTAATTTTAGTTAGAGGGAAATCACATGGACCAGTGGTGTTTGATAAAACAGGCTGTGCCAAACTGATTTGCTGGAAACCCCTTTCTAAAACACCTAACATGCCTGAGATTCCATGCCTCAGACCTCACCTGTGGTCCAGGAAAAAGGGCTGCTGCCCCAGCATGGGGGACTCTCCAGCCACAAAGAGACTAAGCCTAAAGACAAGGTCCATGGTCACAACTTACCCCTGAAAACTGGGCTTTTTGAGGGTTTGGGCACACAGAAAAGCCACTGTAGGGCCACTGCCAGATCTTGCTTCTCCTAGGAAATGTACAGTAGCTGCAGGTGCAGAGACAAACTCCAAATCAAGCAAAAATATCTCAGTCCAAAGCTCCAGCCCCTCAGGTCCACAGAGGAAGCCCTGGTGGTCCTGGAAGACCCCGACCTTCTGTTCACAGAGGAGAAAGCAAAGAGCTCACAGCGCGGGAGGGCAGAACTCTTTAAAAAAATCTGAAATGTTTGAGCATCATTTGCTTTTGAATAGGCCAATATTGAGAAATACAAATGTGGGAAGGAGAATAACAAAGTGATTCCTAAATATGAGCATATGCCACTTCCTATTAAAGTTTGAAACAAACTATAAATAAACAGAGAGAAGCAGGGAGGGGTGGGGCAGGAGGAGGGAGGAAAGGGGAGGCTCGAGGGCCTGAAGTTGGAGCAAATTACCACCCTTGCTTGTGGGATTATTGAAAAGGAAGCCCACTATTGTGTTTAACTCTGATATACTCATAACAAAAAAAAAATTTAAATATTAAAAAAGCAAAATTCAAATTTCAAAGCAAAATCGAAAGCAGTGCCTTCCTTGATTTCCACCTGCATTTCTCACACATCTGCAAACCTAGAAGTGCCACAGCCACTGTGGCGGGTGCTAGGGGATACCTCAGAAGCCAACCCATGTGGCAGAGGTTTGCAGGAAAAGGAACCCCGAGAACATTGCTATGGATTGCTCTGGAAACTGCTGAGCTAAACACTCGGCCAGGCAGAGGTCCTGCATGCCAAAGGGCAGGAGGAAAGACAAAGGACAAGGCCACGATGCTTAGCACCTGCAGACTTCAGTATGACCTTGCAACTCCCTGCCTTTGCCTTGTAACCAGGCTCTCCCAAGATTCTCAGTCACCTTTGGTCACCACTTGGTGCAGCTAGATATGGGAAGTTTTTATGAAAGCCTCAGGTAATCATTTCAGAATCCTAGATGCTCTTATGTTCCCATATGTGATTTTCTTGCAGGTAATCCTTGGGGTCCAGCCCCTGGGAGGCCATATCAACACCTTTGGCCAGCTTGGACACCTGTAAATGGCCATACTGGCAGCCTCTGCTCCCTGTGGCTGCTGGAAAAAAGCTGGAAACCCTGGGTGACTTAAAGACTCATCATTTGTGTCCTGGAAGCCAAAGGACAGACAGGTAACTAGGCCATGCTCTTGGGACACTTCCAGGTGCCATCCTGTGCCCTCCCAGCTCCAATGGTGCCTGCAGACCTTGAAGCCTTTCCCTCCCAGCTGCCTGCCTCTAGCCTCCACCTCTATACTCAAAGGGCCCTGTGTGTTCTTCTTCACCTGGCCAGTCCCTCATAAGAACATGGTCACCCTGCTGTATTGTGACATCACCTTGACTAACTGCAACAACCTGATTCCAAATCAGCTCATATCCTTTCCTCAGGGGAAGCATGTCAGCCTATCTTTAGGCAAAGATACAACCAGCTCTACCCTGACCCCCAGGGTCCACACCCAGACTCATCACCCTCAGAGTGTTGATTAGCTCCATCTCTGGGAGCTTCATGTGAGCCAGCAATGGGTGGGACATGGGTTGAACTCCTCCCTTCTGTAACCTGTGGACCTGACCAGCACGTCACCTGCTGAGCTGCAGGCCCTGTCATGGCAGCCTGAATTTTGGGTGCCTCCTGGTTCTGCAGGTCTCACAGCCCTCACACTCCCCTGCAGTCCCCATTTAAAGGAGCAAGGGAAGGGCCATGTCATCAGAAGGGGACATGCATCATTTCTGCCCTCACCTCAGTTCAAGAAGAGTCCTGGTCCCACTGGCAGCTATGAAGGAGCCAAGTATATTCCCCAGAAAGAAAAGGCAACAGTTAATGGCTGAGCATTAGCATGTGACCCATCAGCATTGACTTCTGGCCCTGACCTCCAGCAGAGGGCTCTGGATCCCCAGGAAAGGACAGGGCCTTAAAAGGGAAGGAACCTGGTCCCTGCAAAGTTGCCTCCTACCCAGCCTGTCCCAGCCGGCTGGCTGGCCCTGCTCTCCAAGTATCTGCCTCCTGTCCAGCCTCTCCCAGCAGGCTGACTGCCCCAGTCCCCAAGGAGTTGCCTTCTGCCCAGCCTCTCCCAGCAGGCTGACTGCCTCATTCCCCAAGGAGCTGCCTCCTGCCTAGCCTCTATCTGCAAGCTGGCTGCCCCTGGTTGAAGTGACAAACTGCACTACAATTAATTTCCATGTGCCATGGCCATCAAGACTTGAACATCATCCTTGGTTCTAGTCAGAAGGTTTTACCTGAGACTCCCAGACACCTGGCCTCTAGAAGCAACATTCTCTTTACAAAAGTCTGCTCCTGACTGCAAAAAGTAAAGGAAAAAAAAATTAAAACCCTGGAATCATAAAACGTCTCATCATCCCCACCTCATGTCATTAAGGTATCTAAAGTTCCGGGCATCTCATTTTAGCCACAACATCCTCTAATATCTGTAAGACTGTTGGTACTAATTTATGAGAATTCTCAGGGAAATAGGTCCCAGAGGCAAGAGAAGAAACTACTAAACACCATCACTAACCAAAATTCTTACAAAATCTTGTGAACCCTCAGTCAAGATATGCAGCAAATCCATTTTATCATCTTACCTTATCAACTATCAAAAGGTTTTCATATTTAAACACTTTCTTATTGAATAAACCCTTTTCTTTCTTCTTTATGGGCCATTTGCTTTATTGTGTATTAAGCCAACAAGATAAAAATTGATCTGACATTGATTCTAATATGTGATTGAATGTGCATATCTGTGAGTTTAGAGAGAGTTTCTCTATCCCTGCAGCCAGAGTGCTTCCCACCCACCAGCTGCAGGAAAGGCTGTCAAAACAAGTTTAAAACAGATCCTTCCTGTGGAAAAAATTCCTAATTTAATTCTAATTTTAATCCAGAGTTTCCCCTACCACTTCCTCCAATGGCAGTAACTAAAATAAATATATTGAAAGATAGAAATATTGGCCACAAAAAAAGTTTTTAAAGAAAAATTGACCACACTGCTAATGGAGTTAATATTGTCATTTATAAGAATGGGTCCCAGCTAACCCAGAAAGCCACTACATCTTATTTTCTTAAACTCTCTGCTAACTGACCCATTCTATCGAGGGAGGCGGTAGTTTGGGTTTCTGTGCACAGCTGTTGAGGTACTGCATAAGTGGACTGTGTACTGTGGTGTCCTGCCATCCTGAAATCCCACCTTCCAACTGAAGAGATGCAGCCTCTCTAGGACTAACCAGTTCCCAGAGGAAGTGCCTCAGGTTGGGAAATGCAGACTAACCCCCAGAGCTGGGCCTGCTCCCTCTGGCCACCTGACAGTGGTTCCATGCAGTCCCAGGACTCAGGCTCCTCCACCGTGTAATCCTGCCATCCCCTGGGCTACAAGCCAAGACCTGAATCCTCTTCATCTGGCTGAGGAAGACAGGCAGGCCTAAGGAACAGGCTGAGGGATGGGCTAGCAGTGGACACATCCCAGATGTCACCCAGACCCCAGTCTGTGGATGGTGACTAGCATCACCCATCCAAAGCTGAGGTGTGGTAGCCAAAAGGCCAGTCCTCACCACAGTGACATGAACTCTCCTTGAGCACCCTTGAGCCTGGAGAAGACAGTGTAAGAATAGCACTTGGGAAGGAGACTTGGAGATGGCCCGCTCATCGTAAGTCGTTGGAGTCGCCGCTGGCGCTGTCGCTGCTCCTGCTCCATGAGGAAGATGCTCGCGGCAGTCTCCCGCGTGTTGGCTGGCGCTGCCCAGAAGCCGGAAAGCAGAGTGCTAGTGGTATCCCGTAATTTTGCAAATGATGCTACATTTGAAATTAAGAAATGTGACCTTCACCAGCCGGAAGAGGGCCCTCCTGTCACGACAGTGCTCACCAGGGAGGATGGGCTCAAATACTATAGGATGATGCAGACTGTGCGCCGAATGGAGTTAAAGGCTGATCAGCTTTATAAACAGAAAATCATTCGTGGTTTTTGTCACTTGTGTGATGGTCAGGAAGCCTGCTGTGTGGGCCTGGAAGCTGGCATAAATCCCACGGACCACCTCATCACAGCCTACCGGGCTCATGGTTTCACCTTTACTCCAGGCCTTTCTGTTCGAGAAATTCTTGCAGAGCTAACAGGACTAAGAGGAGTCTGTGCTAAAGGGAAAGGAGGATCGATGCACATGTATGCCAAGAACTTCTATGGGGGCAATGGCATTGTCGGAGCTCAGGTGCCCCTGGGAGCTGGGATTGCTCTGGCCTGCAAGTACAATGGAAAAGATGAGGTCTGTTTGACTTTATATGGCGATGGTGCTGCTAACCAGGGTCAGATATTTGAAGCTTACAATATGGCAGCATTGTGGAAATTACCTTGTATTTTCATCTGTGAGAATAACCGCTATGGAATGGGAACATCTGTTGAGAGAGCAGCAGCCAGCACTGATTACTACAAAAGAGGCGATTTTATTCCTGGGCTTAGGGTGGATGGAATGGATATCCTGTGTGTCTGAGAGGCAACAAGGTTTGCGGCTGCCTATTGTAGATCTGGGAAGGGTCCCATCCTGATGGAGCTGCAGACTTATCGTTATCATGGACACAGTATGAGTGACCCTGGAGTCAGTAACCGCACACGAGAAGAAATTCAGGAAGTAAGAAGTAAGAGTGACCCTATAATGCTTCTTAAGGATAGAATGGTGAACAGCAATCTTGCCAGTGTTGAAGAATTAAAGGAAATTGATGTTGAAGTAAGGAAAGAAATTGAGGACGCTGCCCAGTTTGCCACAGCTGATCCTGAGCCACCTTTGGAGGAACTAGGCTACCACATCTACAGCAGCGATCCACCCTTTGAAGTGCATGGTGCCAACCAGTGGATCAAGTTTAAGTCAGTCAGTTAATGGGAGACGTGTGTAATGATGGGCTATTTGTCAGCAACTATAAGGAACAGCGTTGTCAACTTTAATAAATAGCATGTAAATTAAATTGAAGGGAGAGTAAGTGCATGCAGTTTTGTATATTGTTGTGTTAGAAGATGTTGAACGCTTGAGTGTTTTGTGATTATTGTATTACCTATTTCAGATCTACAAGTCTAATAGAGTTTAACCTTCTCCCAAATAGTTGTTTGTCTGGTCACTAGAAGGAAGAACACTTCCTTGTGTACCTGTTCCAACCCTGCCACCTGTTTTGGCTATGCCCTGAGAAGATGCAATTCTGGCATTGCACAGCTAAAGCCATCATTTCTTCATATTTTTTTTATTATTATAACCAGGCAACAGGTGAAAGGCCAAACAACTAGTTTTCTCCATTTACACATCAGTGGTTACAGTCCTATCACATTTAGGTTCTATACTAGTTAATAATGCTTACCCTACAACACCTGTCTCATTTTAAACTACTATTGTATTTAAAATAACAGAATGCTGAGTCTCTTTTTCTGAGATTCTCCTAATACTCTAGGATATCAAAACTAAAGCTCACTATTCACATTACATACAGTTCTATATAATCTTTAAAACATTCATAAATAATAGGTTTTAAAAAATGACACAAAAAAATGACAAACTTCACCAGATCCTTGAATTAATTGAACACATCTTTTTCTTGTGTAAACTGAGCAGAATTTGTGTATACATGTACAGAAGAAGCTTTAACCACAAGCAGGAAGATATGTGCTCACTGTGTCCTCCCGGCTTAGCTGAGTGTGATTAAGCCTAATCCTCTGTCGCTGAGGACTCCTGAGCCTGCCTTCTGTACTGGGAGACTGCGTGCCACAGACGACAGAGGACACCACCACTGTGGAACAAAGGAGTTACCATAAGAAAGGCAAAGTTCCAACTGACAACCCCAAAACTAATCTAAGATTGGCCATCTACTCTTACAAATGCAGTCCCATTTTAATTTAGATAATGAACAAAACCAAAAATATATTCTCTTCCTGTGTGAATATAATCCTTGAGTGCCAGCAGTGCTAGGACATGGTATTAGAAGTGTGCACAGGAGCGCTGATGAATTGGTGTAGAGGTGGCTATTTTAAATGACATGGGAACAAGACCACGGGAGGGGTTGGGTCTAGTGCACTGGTACCTCATGCCCAGCCCAAACTTGCCAAGATTTTGGAGGGAGAAGAGGTAGTATGTTTTCAAAGACACTGGAAAGGGAATGAATTTCAAAGAGGGGAAGTTACCAGCACTATTGCCTACTTTAATGTATTTACCCAGAAAAGGTTCTAATAAGCCGTTTTGAAGCTCTTACCGTAGTCTAAGGCATCGTAAGTCTTCCTTAGTGATATCGTTAAGAATATCAGAAAGTGTATAATTTTCTTCAACAATCTGAAACAAAGATCAAATACATAAGAAATAAGCAGCTTTTAACAATATCATAGGAATAGTTTTTGGTTATAAATTTACCTTTTCAATTGTATTTGCATCTCTTCCTTGCAGTTGTAGCCAGTCTATAAGCTCTTTATCTGTTCCCTGCCTAGGAGGGGGTGCTAGGTTCTTTGTCATACCTGTAACAATTAGAAATTTGTTTCATTGTATATTAATTGTAACCATAAAACTCTTAAAAAGTAACTATCCATGATATAAAATGTGGTATGGAAAAAAAAAAAAAAGAATAGCACTTGGCTCTGCATCTGGCTTGTGGTGTGATGGGGTGTGTGAATTGGATTGGAAGATACTCTAAGGAGCCTACCATTATTTTCATTCTGTCATTATCTTGGGAACCTGTGTGTGAGCCACTGTCTCTAATTCAGAACCAAAAGTGGGGTGAAATTCCTTTTCCTGATAGGAAACCAGGTACAAAACTGCTCAGTATTATTTTTGGAGACACACTGATAAGAAACCTTATTATGCAAAAAGCTCTGAACACAAAAAGGAGCTTTCTGTTTCCCACAGCTCCTGACCATCCCTGTGGTGTCAGGCTGAAAGCACCCCTCTGTAAGAATGGAGAAAATCAAAGCATTTGACTCTGAGGCCTCAGGGACTCTGGAGGGAAAAGAACATCCATCCCCTCCTTTAGCTCTCAAAGGAGGAGAAGGCAATACAGAGGTTATGAATGTCCAGAGCTATTGGCAGAAACAGATTTGAAAAAAAAAAAAAAATTGATCATCAGCTTTGATGTGTTATCTTCAATGCAGCAGATGGCGGCTATTAGATAAAGATGCCAGGCACAGCAGCCGAGCAGTGACCCTGTGCTCTTAACCAGTTTGGCTGGTTAAGCTTTCATGGATTAAAAAACTTTTAATAATGTCTGCTGAGATGTTTTTCTTTCCCAGAGCAATTCAGGTATAAAAATCATTGTACAGCCACTATCCAAAGGCTACTACAGAAAGATAATGAGCTTGGCTTTCTATAGTTGGAAGAAAGTGATAGATCATGCCCCAGTCAACAATACAGTGTTGTTCAGTGACCAGCAGAATTCGCCATGTCCACCTAGGTGCCAGGACCCTCAGACACATACTGCTGCCTGCCAGCTCATGCAGAGATAGGTTTTCCTTTGTGACACTCAGCAATGTCTCAAAGAAAAACAGCCAAGGGCTGCCAGGGTGAAGGAGGTGAGAGGGTTTCCCTGATTCCAGTGGAAAGCAGAGGTGTCACGCCTCCATGTAAATGGGAACTAAAAACCCCAAGGCACACACAGTGCTGCTTGCCCTGGGGACTCCTCAGAGCATGGGGACCCTAGTGGAGAAAGAAGGTGCCTTCCACATGGCCACCTGTCCATGTTGCCTCTTTCCTGGACCTAAATGCTCAAAGTAGGTACTGCTGTGTGCTCTCCCAAGATCTCAACCTGTGCTGGGAACTTGCAAGAAATAGCCCAGCCCTCTCTGCCAATGGACCCCTCACCATGGACACAGTGTACCTCCAGCTGCACTCGCCTTCCTCCCACAGTCCCTTCTCAGCCTCCCCAGCCTGGGTTTGTCCCTCTCTCCTCTGCTCAACATCATGTTCCCATTCTTTCTCACTGATAGGTATCCAACTCTGAATCATAAGTCTATTGAAAGTGTCCCTTACAGATGGTGCAATTGTGTGATCAGGCCTAGGACCATCAGCATGTTCTGCTCCCCACCCCAGGAGCCACCCACTGCATCTGGAGTGCACACAACCAGCAAAGCCAGGGACACATTCCCTAGCAAATTGGAGCCTATAAGGGGTCCCCCATTGGAGAAGAACCTGATGTCATGGCAGAGACACAGGACAGTCTTCTGTCCCCCACACCCTTTCACAGGTGGGGACAGTGTGACAGCACAAGAAATGGCATGCCATTGTGGAGGATGATATGGGAGTGGCAGAAAAGAAAAGAGCATCACGTGACTAATATGCAGGTGCAGGGGTAGTGACTAAAAGGTGTCATTTGACTCTGATTTTGCTGGGCTTTGAGATAGGGCCTGTGATCTTGGGAGGCTCTGGGCAATAGTCCATGCATCTGAATTTTGGACAGCTCCTGTCCCCACACTAATGACAGTTTTTACTTCAAGACTAGAAGCAACATTTCATGCATGGTGTCATCTTCATGAAAACAGAAAAACACCAACATGGCATGGCTTTCCAGCATGAGGCCTGCTCCAGGCAAGGTAATCATGTGCTAAGGTGGATGTTCCAGGAAATCTCCATCCATCTGCCATACAGAGGTGGCCCCACAGTGGTCTGGCCATGAGCACTGGAGGTAGGGATGAGAGGCACAGAGAAAGATGCTTCTAGCCCTGCATCTGTGGAGAGCCTGGCTTCTCACACTGGGTACAGCTCACTCCTTCAGCCCAGGAGACAAGCCTGTTCCCTCTGATAAACATCCAACTCAGTTTAAGCTGACCCCTACCTCATATACATTTCCTATGGTCCTAAAGTCAGATTCATTCAGTCAGTGAAGCTGACACCAGAGCTGAAATGGTCCTGATCCTGTCACAGGCAGGAGCTTGGTTGTTGCCTGTCCCCCAGGATCCCTATGTTGAAGGTTTAGCTCTCAGGATGTCCCTAGAGAGCTGCAACACAGAGGCAACACATAGGGCTCTGCAGGTGATAGAGGCCCAGGCTTGCCCTAATTAAAATAGAGCAAAGCCCAAACAAAGAAAGTGCCCTTTATACAGAAAACACTTTTATAAAGTTATAAATTTTTATAAAGGTTTAGGATTAGGGGTTGGGGTTGGGGTTAGGGTTAGGGAATCATATGCTCAGCTCCTAGCTGCAGTCAGTGCCTTCTTCCTTAAGTAAATGCTTCTTGAGGTACCTGGTGCTGCAGTAGTCGGGGCTAGTAAGACTTGATGAGCCCCTGCTGGCAGCGCCTGCATCCGGATCTTGCCGCCACCCCTCCCTCCTACTCCTTTGGCTCCCGAGGCCACGGTGGAGCCTCGGTGGCTTCTGCTCCAGGTGGGAGAGACAGAGGCAGTGGCCTTAGGGCCTCCCCCGCCCGCCTGGCCCAAAAGTCGCACAGCTGCCCAGACAGTAAGGCACAGACTCACAGAGAACCGCGAGGTCGCGAGCAGAAACTGAGGATGCACACGTGCTGGCGGCGGGGGAAGCAGAGGGGGAGGGTTCCACCTAGCATCCGGCTCCAGAACAGCAGCTCCACCGACCCCGCTCTTTTTGTCACAGTCTCCATGGAGATTTCTCACAGAGAACAGCTTGAGCTGCTCCCGAGCTGCTGAGGCGTAACCACCCGCTGGCTGAGAAGCCTCTTCCATCGCCCTGACTGTCGCTGCGGAAGTTGAAGCCCCGGCTCCGCCCACACACCCCTCCCCTCTGTGCACAGGGCCCGCCCAGCCATCTTCATCCTCCCTGAAGTCACCGCTGGTGCGCCTATTGCCACTATTTAGGTCGCCTCCGCCATCGCGAGCCAGAGAACCAGCACTCCTCAGTGCCTGACTTGTGTGCATCATCACGATGCCACGGGGGGAGGCCGGGAGGAAGGAAGGCTGGTGGAGCCCTGCTCTTGCCGCAGGGTCTGCTGGGAAATGTAGTTGAACACCTGGTGGCGGACACGGGGAAGGAGTGGTGCCCACCTGGCAGAGGCAAAAAGCCAGGGCAGCGCGGCTGCTGTTGGCTGTAAAGGAGATCCTAGAGAGAGGTTGGGCTTGAGCACAGTGTCCTCCTCCCACTCTGCTTCTCCCCATCATGGTTCAGCTGGCAGAAGGTGCATGTGAAACCAAAGACAGGAGCTGTTGATGCTTTATTATGATGAAAAAAGAAAAAAAAAAAAAAAAAGCAAACCTGGGGTTGAATAAACACTGTCCATGAACCTTAGGCCAAAAGCAGAACTGGAAAATACATGCAGCTTACCAGTGTTTCTTCAGACACAAGGGCTTTCCTTCCACTCTCACAGAGCTGGAATTCTAGCTTCCCGGCTCTGCTTATTGGACTTTGGAGGACGCAAAACCTTCTGGGCCTTGGCTTTCTCCTCTTTAAGGGGAAACCTTAAAATCCACCTTATAAAACCACAGTGAGGAGTAAATGTGATCATCTGTGTACAGCACTGGGTGTTATTTACTGTTAAGCGAGAAGCACAGTAAATGGTTGCAGTTATAACCTATGTACTTAGCCAATATTATGGGTATTTCTTGGAAGCATAACAATATGTAAAGGGACAACAATACAGTAGTCCTGCATTCATGTAACTGGTTCACTGAAAGCTGTACCACACAAGAAATAAGAGGAGGAAATCCGCAATGAACCTGGACCCAGTTGGTTTTGTTTTTTGTTTTTAGCTAAAACAAATAGTTTATTGGGAGACCACTCAGCTCATGAAAATGCTATTACTACTACAGTATTTTTTCACCAAGAAACTTTTATTTTTTCCCCTATGACATGGTAACCGTCTGACAATCATAAATCAGCAAATAGAGAAGCTGCTGGCCTCATTCAGCAGCCTCCTTTGGTCGCTGCGCCTCCCCTGATCTGACAGTAGTTTTATGTGTTTACTTTGTATAGACAAAAATACAGCATGTGCTATGATATCTATTTTGTTGAGAGTAGTTTTAGATCTCCTTGTGCTTTCACATATCATGTGATAATTATTATCAAACATTTAATTAGATAGAAAAATAATGTTAAAGTAGTGAGGTTCACATTCTACTATGCACAATCACAACTGGAGAAACAATAAATATGAATGCAGAGTGCAGATTCTAAAAAAAAATGCTTCTTGACACAAGTTGACTGGCTCAGTTGGGTTGGCATTAAAATAAAAAAAGAAAGAAAGTATCAAAATGGTATATTTCCTGTTTTGTGCACCTTACTATAACAAGAAGTACACCATGACCTTTTTTTATGTTAAGTGTAATATGTCCAGTGCAGAAGGACAAACACCACAGGTTCTCATTCATTTAGAAAGCAATAAGTAAATATAGTAGAACAGAATGGAATAGTGATAACAAGAAAATGGGAAGAGTAGAAATGGACAGATTGAAAGAGTTCATTGAGGAGCACAAAGACTAGAATGGAGGAATCACTCCTCGTACTTCTATGGCACAGTTAGGTAACTATTATTGAAAATAACCTAAAATGTGTTTCAAAATAAAATTTACACCTGGCAGAAGGCACATGCCTGTAATCCCACTGACTTCAAAGATTGAGGCAGGAAGATCATGAGTTCAAAATCAGTCTCAGCAATCCTGTCTCTAATTAAAATAACAAAAGAAGGCTGGAGGTGTGGCTCAGTGGCTAAGTACCACTGAGTTCTAACCACAGCACCAATAAACTAATATATAAATAAATTTACAATATATTAAGATAATTAACATTTAAAGAGATGAAAATACTTTTAATATAATTTGAATACTACTACTTATGTGTACTGAATTATCATAATGTACCCCATAAAATGCATATATAAAAAATATATTAAAAGTTACCAGTAACTTCATACACAGATGTGAAAAAGTTCTCTAAAATAAATAGAATTTTATGTGTCATGATTCTAAAGTTGTCAACATATAATTTGTATACTTTCTAGAAATTTTAAAGCATTTTAGTGTATTTGGTTCAATCTTTTTACTTTTTTTTTCTTTTTTTTTTTGGCCCATGAATCATACCCAGTGGTGATTAACCATCGAGCCACACCCCCAATCATTTATTTATTTATTTATTTATTGAAACAGCGTCTCAGTTGCTTAGGCTCTTGCTAAGTTGTTAGAGAATGGGCTCAAAATTTTGATTCTCCTGCCTCAATCTTCCAAGTAGCTGAGATTACAGGTTTGTGCCACATTGCAATTTATCTAAAGAAGGAGGAGAAGTTCTTGCTATGGATTCAATTAAGATTCAGTCTATGCTGCCCACTCTTTCAAGAATATGTTGCCTTATGTATCAACAGTTTCGTCATTCTCTGGGTGATACGCTTCACAAGAGATCAAAATGTATAATCTAAATAATAGAGAAATATGAAAAATATCTGGTCTTAATAATTCATGCCATAAAAATATGGATTTGTAGTATTATTTTAATAAGGAAAAGGAAAAAATATTAAAGTTGCATTTCTAGATAATTGTCAGTATTTTATGTCACTGAATATATCAAACGATGTACTGTGGGAAATGTTGAAATATCATATATACCTTAGATTCTACTGCCTCATAATATTATTTCTTTTGTGTGGTAATTTTGAATTTAAAATTATGACCTAATGTACAACTGAAAATTAAGAACCAGTTCAGGTAACTTATAGAAAGGTTGTAGATGTATACCTTCTAAATGATGAAATAATCAAAATACACAATAATAATTCATCAATTAATGATCACATCCAACTAGTTGAAATGGATGCTTTGCCACAGCAGTTCCAGTGGATGACAAGTATATAAGAAGACATGAAAATACCATTCACAAAATAAGCTCTTGAAAGAGCATGAAAACATCACAAAATAAGCTCTAGAAAGAGCGTGAAAACATCTGAAAATATTCCAAACAGCACCTGTCAAATGAGAAATGAAATTATAATTTATAGTAGATTTCTGTAGCCAATAATAAATGGCACATGCTCACACAAAACACAATAGTAACAAATACTGATTTGTTGTGGAGCCCAGAAATTCTCTTTGATTGTTTCTTGGATGCCAATACAGTCTTCTGGGAAAGAAGCATTGTATTTTTTATCCTTAATAAAGTTACCATATGATCCAGTGATCATACTTCCACATTTTACACACATTATTTGTAAACTGATACCTACAGAAATGGTGTATATGCTACCAAATATTGATCCTTCTCCCTGATGCCAATTTAATATGGAGGACATGGCTTTGAGAAAAAGGCAAAGCAGGTATATTATTGCTTTGCTAGTAAAGGAGGAGCACAGGGGACTCCTGTTCCAGAGGCTGTGATGCTGCTCATCACTGGGAATAGGAGTGTGTGTGTGTGTGTGTGTGTAGTGGGGACTAAACTCAGAGGCACTCAATCACTGAACCACATTCCCAGTTGTATTTTGAATTTTTATTAAGAGATAGAGTCTCATTTAATTTCCTAGCAACTTGTTTTTGCTGAGGCTGGCTTTGAACTCACAATCCTCCTGCCTCATCTTTTAAGCTACTGGAATTATAAGCATGAGCCCCTATTCCTGACAGAAAAAAAAGATTTTTTTTTTCAAAATAAGGATTCAAAGACTACCTGCCAGGTACTCCCTGTAACAAAATTGTGATTCACTTGTTAATTTGGAAGAAAGCTATTCCTTAGATCTTCTGGTGCCATCTTTGAAGTTTGAATTACTTGGTTCCTCTGGTGGGTGTGTTATCTAAGCTGTCTGAAAAGGCAATGGGAAAAGGCAATCTAGTTTCTAGCCCCAAAGTTATGAAACAGGAAAGAGAGATACTAATAAAAAAAGACAAGAAATGTATGCAGACATAGATAAACAGTATGTTATTCAAATCAAAAGGTTTCATGTAGCAAAGTAAACATGAAACAGGCAAAAAGACAATCTCTAAAATGTGTGGGAGATATTTACAAACTACATATAACACAATGGTTAATATCCAAAAGAAAGTACTCTTAGAATTCTACAGAAATGCATAAATAACTGAGTTATTTATGATCTGAAGAGATTACTTCCACAGGGAAGATGTAAAGAAAGCAAAAAAGCAATGTTGATGCCCTGTATCAGCAAATACTCAGGGATATGCACCTAAAAAACACGAGGGATGTGTTAATCAAACTTGATTAATGAATCTATACTGTCACAGAGGTAGGTGGGAGCTAAGCATGGGGAATGACTAGGGCACCTCAGCCCCACCTACATTCTTTCTTCGAGGGGAAACTAAGCCATTTAAGGGCTAAAGAGAAGAAGATGGATGACCACAAGGGGAAATCAAGAGCCTGAAGGAAAGGTTTTCTATATTGGACAGGTCAATAGTCCAAGGGATGAACCTCAAGTTAACTTGTTGCTACTTAACATATCATGAACACTGTGGATTCCCCCCCACCTAAATGCTTTATCTGGGCTTTGAGGAAAAATTTACTCATGGGCACTAGAGAAAAAATGATATCAAATTTAGCTGTGGACACAAGTGCCAAGAAATGTCAGGTACACCCAGGTAAGAATGGGGAGTACTAGTGCCACACAATAAAAGCAAACTCCACTTTATATGTCGGTGGGGCCTTGAGATATTTTGTAGCTCAGCCCACTCTGCTCTTCCAGGGTATATACTTTTACTTTCAGTAAACCTCTGCTTTGCCTTCCAATCTCTTGTAACTTCTTCAATTCTTTGTTAAGAATGTAAAAACCCTAGACAAAGAACTTTCTGGTGACACTCTGCCCATGTATGGTAGTAATAAATCCTCATTGCAGCCCACAAACATATACAAATATATTTTGTCAATAAAAAAACAAATAATAAAACCTAGAGTGATATACAATCTCATATGCATTAGGGGGGTTATCAAAGAATAAATG